GGCCAATCACAATGCACTGGGTCAGCTGGCCAATCAGAGCAGACTGCGCTTGTCGGAAGGAGGGACTTTGTAGAAAACGAAGTGTTTGAGAGAGGCGGGGCATAGAGGACCTACAATAATATACAGTATTTGAAAATTTTTTAAATTTTTAAAAATTAATGTTTTTTGAACATTAAAGCATGTCAACATATTCTGTTACACCAAATACACCAAATAATGATCTTTAAAAAAGCATCATATGACCCCTTTAAAATAATACATAAAAACAATTTTGGATATTTTTCAAATATATCTACATGCATCAGTTGCCATCTCATAAAAAAAATGATTGCAGTGATTTTCACAACTTAAAATCCAACATAAGAATAAGTATGTGTTTGTGCTTGACTTAAAATTATAAGTTTAGTTTAATTTAGATCTCACTATGAAGCTGTTGTTTGCAAATCTTTATGACTTCATAACCATTTGATAGTTCAACATGACACTTGAAACTCTGTCAAATGAAGAATGCTGTAAGTTACTTGAAAGGAATGAAATGAAAGTGGACAGAGTTACAGAACAGGTCGCGCAGAAGCGCTAAATAAAGCCTCGTCAGACGTTGCGTGAGATAAAGGATGCTTTCTCATTCTTTCACTGCACTTCCTAGTTTCTGTGTTCCTCTCGGGTCTGAATAATTTCTGGAAATGCTGTGTGCATGCGTACTAAATCTCATGTAGTGCTTTTCAGAAGTAGCACAGATAGCAGAAACAAATGACGACACTGTGGAGGAATGAAAACAACGTCTCGTGTAATCTGTCCTGCGTTGTGTTTATGACTGAGCAAATTGCTGGTGTCTTTATGTGCATTTGAAGTTTGCATGATTGATTGGTCAAATTGATTGTTCAGGGAGATTGAGCACGAGGTGCCGGTCCGTAGTTCAGTCCCACTGAGCAGTGGATCAGAGATGAACAGCTCTGCAGGACGGCCCAAGAAACGGCGCGCTGGACGCCCACGAACCGCCGACAGACAGGATCACGACACGGACTACGCCTCCTCTGGAGATGAGCTGGACGACGATGACTTCTCCAGGTGAGCTCACCGCTGAAATCCAGCTCATAATGTTCACTGGCGTTCCAGATGAGATGGAAGTGCTTCTGTTTTCCAGTGAATTCCCTCCCATTATTAATAATGAAGAGAGAGATGATTACAAACGCCTGTTTGACAAAGACCATCAGGAGTACAAGGAGCTCCAGGCAGAAATGGACCAGATCAACAAGCGTCTGGCTGAAGTGGACCGGGAGCTTGATGATCTTCAGGAGGGCAGTCCTCAGTTCCTGGTATGAAAAGTCGTCAAGATTCGGCGATGACTCTCATTAATTCTCATTACTGAGAATTCATAAGTGCTGGAATATTCTCATTATATCTCATTATTATAAAATAATTGTAATTTTTATTATTAATATTATTATTATTTAAATTAGCATAGAGTACAAGAAATAATGATTAATATTTAATTAAAATTTAAATTCCCATTACTGAGAACTAGTAAGTACTGAAAGACATTTTTATATTATTATTATTTAATGATTTATTTATTATTAATATTGAATATAACGTATTTAATTTTAATTATAAATTTTAAATACAAGTCTTTTAGATTGAATTATAATTATCATTAATTCTTATTATTATTGCTAATATATGAATTTAATAATGATAACTTGTATAGCTTAATATTACTTAAATTATTAATGATTAGTTTTTTTCTCTCATTATGCTAATGTTAATGATTATAAAATATAAATGTCAATTCAAATAAATACAATTAAAAAAAATTTCCCCAATTTTTTTTCTTTTCGAGTTGAAATATGACTTGAGTTTTGTAAGATTTACCCAATGGTGCATGACTTGTTTGCCTTACAGTGGAACGTTCCTGTTGGTTACGCTGTATTATCTGTAAATAGTTAACGTTAGCATGGGAAAACGTTTTGAGTCACTGCGCTTGTTGCTGACTTCAGTCATTCTCTCGTAACAGGACGCCATGGACGAGTACAACGCGCTGAAAGACAAAAAGAGGGTAAGAATGAGCTGAATCCAAGATTTCTCACAGAAGCGGACAACAGTGGAGGATGTTATCTGATGCATTTCCCACTGTCTCTGCAGAGCGGCGAATACCAGGTGAAGAAGAAGCGCTGCAAGCACCTGAAGGCCAAACTAAGCCACATCAAAAGAATGGTCAGCGATTACGACCGGAGGTCCTGAAGATCCTTTCCATCACATTAGAGAAGAGCGAGCTACTGGACAGTGTTGTGAGAGTACAGATGTCCAGATGTGTGGGTCATTGCCATTCGTGAGCTGGGTTGTGTTGCTTTCTGGACATTTGATTGATAATGCATGTAAATATTCAAGGCATTCTGATTCGTATTGCACAATGCAATATTTTCCCAGAATCCTTCATGAACCAGTTTTAAAATCAGGTTTAACTAATGTCAAAATCCTCATTTCTGTAGTTTTTTTGTTGCAAATCTCTATTTAGCTGTTACAGATTTAACATGAACTTGTTGGTGTTTCAGTACAGCGTGTTTGTTTTATAAAGTTTTTTATATATATATATATATATATTAGTTATTCAGAGATTTCTTAGTGGGTAAAATACTGTGCCAAATAAGCAATATGTGTTCTGTGTATATTTATACGTATAAAGAGACACACATACAGTATATAATTTGAAAATATTTAAATGTATTTTTTACATGTCTATATGTATATTCATATCATTTATATTATATATTTAATATATAAACATAACATTTTCTGAAATATATATATATATATATATTAGTTATTCAGAGATTTCTTAGTGGGTAAAATACTGTGCCAAATAATTACCAGGTGGGTGGTTTAAACTCTTGATAACCAGTTATGTCTGTATAAATCAAGCTGTGATCAGTTACAGGTTACAGACAGCCTTTAATAGTTAGCCTTTTAAGCTGTATTTATGTCATTTTAAAAACTTTTTACTTGCTGGTATGTAAATATGTAATTTAAATGTTTGATTTCTTTTCATTGTTTTTGACAACTATTAATAAAGTCATTTTTAATGGCATAATAAATGTCACCATACATTTACTAGTATAGGCTATTAAGTGTTTGTGGTTTCTGAAATGATGTCAGTAAAATCCACAAAACGCTATTAAAACCAGTTTCTTTAATTTTAATTTAATTTACTTTAATTTTAGCCATCAAAACAATGCCTGGGTGTCACAAAGTTTAGCGTTTCATTTAGTGATGCACCTAATTTCGGCAACCGGAAATGAACATGTATACCGTCGAATTCGAATTCGATCTTCATAGTAAATCAAATGTGTTACTTTTGATATGAAACAAAGTCTGAGCTTTAAAATTCTCGACTTCATAAAGAAAATCGAACAATGAATGCCGTTTTGGCGCGCTTTAATGTGCCTCAGTTCCGCGGTTCCTGATCATCTCGTCCTCTTTATTACTCTAACGTGAAATAAAAATGAATGAACATCACAAACTATGCTGAAAGAACAAGAGAAACTTACCGAAAGGTATAGAATCGTAATGTAATCACTCAATCGGTGTTTCAACCGCAAGAAGACGTCAATAAAACAGCGTGTGTAAACAATAAGTCATGTAACATTACATTTAACTTAACGTTGCATCAGCAAATTTAAAGGGATATTTTACCTAAAAATTCGAATTCTTTATTATTTAATGTATGTTTGAATAAATCTGTCATAAAAACGAGTTTTTTTTATTACAGCCACATTTATATTTCAACAACAAATTGGAATCGAAACATATCATTAAAATGCTGATATAAAACTGCCTTGATTATTAAATAAAATTTGTTTTAGTTTAGTTTTTTTCTTGACTAAATGAACACTTCATTTTCGGTTTTTGTGTTTCAGTAAAAACTAATTTCGGTGCATCGCTGGTTTCATTGAGTTGACATTTAGCATTGATATTTTAAAACTTATTTAGACACTTATTTTATTGCAGCCATTTAAAAAATGTTCATGTTCTGTATGATCATATCAGAGCTGGTTTCCACCAGTGTTATGGCCCTTGTAAAGTGCCGTACCCAAGGTGAAACTAGGTGCAGGCTTGAGTTCCACACCCTGTTAAACACACTTTCAATTGTCTCTAGAGTTCGTCAGGACTCAATCAGACTGTTTCTGTCCAGCCAGGCTTTCAGTAGTGGGACGTTCCTGTCCATCCAGCGGATGTTCTGCTGGATTTTCTGCAGGGCCTGTTGAACGCTGCGGAGCCCAGAGCCCTGATCCTGCGCTAGTGACCCGAAGAAAGACTGAACCTACAGGAACAACACAAACAACCAACCACAGTGTTCTTAGATTTCTACTGACACCAATCAGTGCAAATGCAATGCTTTCGTTTACATATCCATTAACCAGAAATGATCGGTCACCCATGATTCATGTAAAGTCATGTGACCTCAGCATGTTGGCAGCTTAAACAACTTGTAATGTAGAAGTGTGAAGGTGTGTGTACGTAATATTTCTCAAAAGATACTATAAATATAAATATTTCTCAAATTCATCAAGTACTGGGGAAAAAAATACAAATATTGTTAACATTAGTAAATGCATTGAACTAACATGAACAAAGAATGAGTAATATATTTTTAAAGCATTTTCGTTAATGTTAGTAAAAATATAATTGTTAATTGTTGGAGGCTTGTTAAATGAACATTGAAAAAGTTCATTGCAACTTTTTTCTCAGAATTTTGAGTTTTTATCTCAATTCAGACTTTTCTTTGTAGAACAGTGTTTATATCTTGCAACTTTGCATTTAGATCTCGCAAGTTTTTGAAAAAGTGTGAGATGTAATCTCAGAGTTGCGAAAAAAAAACAAAGAAAAAAGAATGGCAAGAAAAATAGAATTGTGAGATAAAAACTAAGAATAGCAAGAAAACGTCTGAATTGTAAGTCACATTTACATAATTATCCTGTGGCATTAAAGCTTGTTAATTTAAAATGCATTAACTAATGCTACCTAATAACACTAACATTGACTAATATTAATAAATGCTGTAGAAGTATAGTTCGATATTCATGTTAACTAATGTTTGCATTCATACGTTTTAAAAAGACTCCTAAAGTACCTCATCGAGCATTTCTCTGGTGGAATACTGATCGGTCACACCGACCGCCATGCGAGATATCGCAGACGAACCGAGATCAAACCTAAAAGGAGGATTTGGATTTAATACACCACTATTCACAATCTAACATGCTACAATGTGTCATAAGCGCCATAAAAGAATGTGATTTTTTTTTTACATTATTATAACAAGGTCTTCAGGTAGATATGAAAGCTTGCTACACACTTTTTCACAAGTTTCCCCCAGTTGGTTTTCAAGAAGTCCCAGGCGAGTTTGAAACCTTTTGGGTTTTTACTGACGCTGATGACCAGCGACGGCAGGTCTTGAGTTTTTATGATCTCTCCTTCAATGCTTCTTTCCAAAAGCCTAGACAGAACGAGAAAGCAAAACACATCCTAGAGCAGGTTTAAATGACTCAAGATCGTTATTACTGACACGCAGGATTGAAAAGGTGAGAAATGAATCATGCTTTTGCATATTAATGACGACTTTCAAGAGAAGATCTTTTCGGATAAATATGCCAGACAGTTTGACCTTCCTTAATGATTCATGTGTCATCATCGATGTCAGGTTTGTGTGAACTATGAAAATGTCATGTGACGTCTTCAGCTGCTTCATGAATGCAGACTCACCACTGAAGCTTGTGAGCTAATGGACTGTACGAGAGGGCGGCTTTAATCATCCACTTCTCCGATGGCGAGACGGATCGCTTGTATTTCTCCAACAGGAAGTCCCAGCCTTCGTCTGTACGCGCCCCTTCAGTGTAGACCACCAAACTGACGTCAGTGGGCAGCCTGAAGCAAACAACACATGTTTGGATGAATGCAAATAGAATGCAGTATGTAAAATGTGGATGATACATGAATCAAATGAACTCTCACCACATTTTGCCATCGGATTCCTTCCACTGCTGGAAGAGTCGAGTGGCGGTGCTGATGCAGGATGGGTAACGGCGGACGCAGGCGAACAACAGCAGATAGTTCCTGAGCATCCGCTCGGACACAGACCCGTCATCAGACCAGCTCTGGCGGTCAATCAGCGTCTTGAATAACTTCACTAAATGACCCTGTTAAAGCAGCAAATCGACAACAGCATGTCTAAATATATTTTATTTTTTCCCAAAATGCATTAAATGTTTCACCAAATTCTTGTTTAATTACATTTTAATAATAAATAAGAATGTCTAATCAAATTACTTGAATTTCCTCTGTTTTACTTTTAATTTTTTCTGGATTCTGTTCATGTATATTTTTAATGAATTATTTTTTACTGATCAAAAAGGATGTTTAATAAGCCGAATGCATAGAGATGGTGGTAATCAAATGAATGAATATAACTTTAACAATTTAATTAATCTCTAATCCTTTCATTTTTTTGGCAAACGAAGTGCAGCACAAAACATGGATTGATAAACTGCTTTAATAAACTGTATTATTATAATTATTATGATAAGAAGTACATTCTACTGCACAATAGTAATATATTTGTAAAATGTCTTGAAATTAAATCAAACGTATATTTGTCAGGTTGTAGTAAAGACCTTTGAGTTTCTGTGTGTCTTTGACCGAATTTTTATTAATGATTATTTGAAAAGCCCTTCTTTTGATCCAGATTTTGCGAGACATTCTACATTATAAAGCAACTTCCATTTTTTGACTGGATTCTGTGATTCAATCTCTTTTTTTTGCACTGCAGAAATCTCAGGTCCTTATAAATATAATGCATATTCAGATGTTGCTGTCTTACCCTGGCCAGCTACTTTAGAAAAGGTCACCATGAGATTTTAAATGTATTATCTAAACTGAGACACTAGAAAGTAACTCAGCATCCAAACTATTGCACATATCATCTTTAAACTAGACTTATTCATGTTTGCAAGCACAACCTTCAGCTGGTTCTCCAGTTCCTCCATGTTTCTCTTCTCCATGAGTTTGTAAAGCGGCACCAGCTCATTAAAGCCCTGCGTCACCGGCATGATCTCCGACTCTTTACTGAGGTACAAACTCAGATTCAGAGCTTTGTCCAGTGGGATTTTCTCAATGCTGAAGGAAAGACAAATACATTTGATTCCATATTTGAAGCTTTGAATCAGCAGACGTTTTGGTGATTTTTAGTAAATGTATGATGTCATAAACTTCTTTTCGCCAAATTATTTGCTTGAAAAGTGTGTTTCTGCATCTCATGACACTTGATTTAGTTGAGTTTTTGTAAATGAGTTTGTTTCTTCATCAGATTTGAAGAAATGTAGCATTGCATCAGTGTCTCAGCAATGGATCCTCTGCAGTGAATGGGTGCCGTCAGAATGAGAGTCCAAACAGCTGATAAAAACATCACAATAATCCACAAGTAATCCACACCACTCCAGTCCATCAGTTAACGTCTTGAGAAGTGAAAAGCTGCATGTTTGTAAGAAACAAATCCATCAAGACATTTTGACTGTAAACCGCTGCTTTTGGCTAAAATATGAGTTCATAATCCATAATAAAGCTTCCTCCAGTGAAAAAGTCTTATGG